CATTCATTCATTTATTCATTCATTCCTTTAAATATTGTTCTACATTTAAATATCTTTTAGACACTTCAAGTGTAATATTTCCCATCATAAAATTTAATCAAATATTACTCTTTCCCTATATTCTCTGGTTCTATCTATATCCTTGTTTTTAAAAATATTTATATAGGGTTCATCTTTAAAAAATATTCTATCTCCTTGACTTATTCCATTTTATTCATTCTTCAGAAATCATTCCCCTGCCATAGAAGACATCTAGCTGGGGTTTCTAAAACATCTCCTAACTTGTTTTTCTGCTCTGATACAATCTTCACATTACTGTACACAGTGATCCTTCTAAAAGAAATAATCTGATGAAGTAACTTCTTACTTAAAATCCTTCAATGGCTTTCAGGACAATTTAAGATAAGATCACATAATCTTAGTATCCCATAGAAGGTTCTTTATGAACTGGCCTCTATTCTTTCCAACCTTATCTTTTGCTTCTCTTCACCTTGAAACCCCCGTTAGAGTCCTACTGAAATACTTGAAGTAGATAAATTCTACATAGTACACTCACAGCCCTAGTTGTAATTCATGTGTCTTTCCATCTTCTTGGAATGCTTTGTTGCCCATATTCACTGCACTATTTTTTAATTCTTTATTGGATTAAACACCAATCTTGAGTGGCTTCATTTTACTTAGGGCTTATCTCTTTATAATTGTTTACTATATTACATTTATTGTACATATTTATTTGTCCAGCTCCTCCTTAGATAGTGCTTCTTCAGGCTGTTGTTATTTTTTTTTCCTGTAGCTGCTAATGTCTCACATGTTTCTAACTATATCTGGGAATGAAGCTGTCTACAGTAATATTGTTAAAAGACTTTACACAAATCATTGTCAGTATAATGTAAAAAACAGCAATTTCCTTATTCAGAGAGGTCCAGATCCAAATTCCAGCTCTGCTACAGTATGACTTTACTAGCTTGCATGCTTTGTTAAGTGTATCATCTATTCTCAAGTTCTATTTCTTTGTTTGCAAAAGTATGACTAATTCTTGCTACATAGGATTGAGCTTAGACAAGAACAAGATAAAATATGTTAGACGTATGGTAGGTGTTCAAAAATTAGTGTTGATAATAATTGCTTTCATTTATAAATTTAATTCAAGTATTGAGTAGGAGTTGCTATTTCTACAAAGATTTTTTTAAATGTCATAAATTTTCCAAACTTATCAGAATGATTCTAATTGAAGTGATCCTAAAAAAATAAACATGTGGCTTGAAAAATTTATGGGAAGAAACGATTGTTCCAAGTATTAAAAATGAAAAAATGGGGGGGGGGCGCCTGGGTGGCGCAGTCGGTTAAGCGTCCGACTTCAGCCAGGTCACGATCTCGCGGTCCGTGAGTTCGAGCCCCGCGTCAGGCTCTGGGCTGATGGCTCAGAACCTGGAGCCTGTTTCCGATTCTGTGTCTCCCTCTCTCTCTGCCCCTCCCCCGTTCATGCTCTGTCTCTCTCTGTCCCAAAAATAAATAAACGTTGAAAAAAAAATTAAAAAAAAAATGAAAAAATGGGGGCACCTGGGTGGCTAATTGGTTGAGTGTCCAACTTTGGATCAGGTCATGATCTCACAGCTTGTGAGTTTGAGCCCTGCATTGGGCTCTGTGCTGACAGCCTAGAGCCTGGAACCTACTTCAGATTCTGTGTCTCCCTCTCTCTCTGCCTGTCCCCTGCTCGTGCTCTGTCTTTCGCTGTCTCTCAGAAAGTAAAATTTTAAAAATGTTAAAAAATAAAATAAAATAAAATAAAATAAAATAAAATAAAATAAAATAAATAAAAATGAAAAAATGGCAACATATTCACTTTCCTGTACCTAATCCAACCCTCTTTTTGCATGGTGGCAACAATAATGATGCCAAAAAATAAGCCAAAACATACAAAATAATCAAGAAGATTATGGGGAAAAGGAATTTATATCTAAAATCATAATTATTGAACTACACTCCAAGTTTATAGTGTTCCTAGGGATATTAGCTAATAACAGTAGAATATACATATACAATTTAAAAATGAAGAAATACACATGTCTTAGAAACTTTTTTGCTAAAAAGGAGTGTGTTGAAAAGTTTGTAGAACACTGAGATATATGGCCACCAGCAACATTTTACATAACACATTGGAAGGAAATAGACCCTTTCATAGCCTGCAAATGATCAATACCCAATTTTTATAGAACATACTTTGAATGAGTGCAAAGACATGAGAGAAAGAAAGGAAGAACATACTTTGAGTGCAAAGACAAGAAAGAAAGAAAGAAAGAAAGAAAGAAAGAAAGAAAGAAAGAAAGGAAGGAAGGAAGGAAGGAAGGAAGGAAGGAAGGAAGAAAGAAAGAAAGAAAGAAAGAAAGAAAGAAAGAAAGAAAGAAAGAAAGAATAACATCAAGTAAGAATGATCTTTCAGATAAATACATTCAAGAGCAACTGATTGGGTTGAGAGCAATACAGAACACCAGTAAGTGAATTCAGACTGAACAGGAGACACTATCCCCACAGTCAAACTTCAGCAGGAAGAATTAGAGATGCTTACTAGAACATATTACATACCTGGGTTTTGTCATATATAGCTATATTATGAACTAAAAGTTGTAATAGATTAGGTTCTATCACCTCCAACCAATCCTGTGTACTTTCATCTAGTATGAATTTAAAAAATCCTCTAGATGGACTATGAAATGCTGACATTAGACCTGATGCTAAGAGTCAAGATTCTGGAGCCCACACGGATTGGAAGAATAGATATTGTTAAAATGTCCATACTACCCAAATCAATCTAAACATTTAATGCAATCCTATCAAAATACCAACAGAAATTTTTCACAGAGCTAGAATAAACAATCCTAAAATTCATATGGAACTACAGAAGACCTCAAATAGTTGAAGCACTCTTAAAAAAGAAAAGCAAAGCTGGAGGCATCACAATTCCAGACTTCAAGTTATATTACAAAGCTGTAGTTATCAAAATAGTAGGTACTGGTACATAAATAGACACATAGATCAATGGAACAGAATAAAAAACCTAGAAATGACCCACAACTATAGGTGTCAATTAATCTTTGACAAAGAGAAAAGAATATCCAATGGGAAAAAGACAGTCTCTTCAACAAATCATGTTGGGACATGAAACATGACAAACAATGAAACTGGACCACTTTCTTACACCATACACAAAAATAAATTATAAATGTATTAAAGACCTAAATGTGAGACCTGAGTCATAAAAATCATAGAGGAGAACACAGATAGTAAACTCTTTGACATCAGCTATAGCAACCTCCTTCTAGATATCTCTCTTGAGGCATGGGAAACAAAAGCAAATATAAACTATTGGGACTTCATTGGGATAAAAAATTTCTGCACAATGAAGGAAACAACCAACAAAAGTAAAAGACAATGTACAGATATGGGAGAAGATATTTGCAAATGACGTATCTGATAAATAGTATCCAAAATACATAAAGAACTTTTCAACACCCCAAAAATGAATAATCCAATTAAAATAGGCAAAAGGCATGAACAGACATTTTCCCAAAGACATACAGATGGCTAACAGACATATAAAAAGATGCTTACCATCACTTATCGTCAGGGAAATAAAATTCAAAACCACCTTATACCTACAGAATGGCTAAAATCAACAACACAAGAAACAGCAGATATTGGTGACAATGCGGAGACAAAGGAATCCTTGTGCACTGTTGGTGGGAATGCCACTGTGAAAAACCACATGGGGCTTCCACAAAAAGTTAAAAATAGAACTACCCTATGATCCAGCAATTGCCCCACTAAGTATTTGCCCAAGGAATACAAAAACACAAATTCAAAGGAATACATGCACCCCAATTTTTATAGCAGCATTATAACTACAATAGCCAAATTATGGAAACAATCCTATTACATCTCCTTTATCCATTCATCAGTTGATGGACAGTTGGGCTGTTTCCATAATTTGGCTATTGTAGATAATGCTGCTATAAACATATAAGATATATATGATATATATGAAATGTATATGTGTCTCTCTCTCATATATACATACATATACATACATATATGAGAGAGAGGCAAACCAAGAAACACACTCTTAATTATAGAGAACAAACTGAGGGTTACCAGAGGGGAGGTGGGTGGTGGGATGGGTTAAATCCGTGATGGGGATTAAGGAGGCCACTTCTTGTGATTAGCACTGGGTTTGCATGGAAGTGTTGAATCGCTCTATATTGTACACCTGAAACTAATATATTACACTGTATGCTAACTGGAATTTAAATAAACTAAAAAAAGATTCTAGATCTCAAATTACAACACAATACAGTGAGCAGAAGGCTTTCTAGAATTTCCATACCACGAGTCAAACTTAACTAAGCACTTTGACAATACATGAACATAGACACATAGAGAAGGGTCAACAAGATTTAAGTGAATGAATGTATTATTAATGTATTAATTATCTTGTTTGCCTTTAACTTTGGTGTTTTTATACTTTATACATATTTTATACATATAAGATATAAGGTGATATATATAAGGTGAATTTAATCATGATCAAGTAATTTTTTCACAAACAGCATGTTATCCCATTTATTACAGAGATTTGCCATATTTATTTTTCATGATATCTCTAAAAGTCTCAGTGTCCTTTTGTTATATTTTCAAGAGTAAATGTTAGCATATAAACCACATACAGGTCCAACTTTGCAATATTCTATTCAGTAATTATTTTCTAAGAAATCATGTGTGATGACATTGCAAAAATGGCGCAAAATCTTCCTATCCCTATGTTCATGTCCTTTGCAGTGTGACAGTTTTTCCTATCTAGAGGTGAGGTCTATTTCTCCACCCCTTAAATTCTGACCTGTCCATGTGACTTGCTTTGGTCAATGAGATATTAGCAATTGTGATGTAAGCAGTGGCATACAAAATACTTGTGCAATGGCACCACCCTCTTTCATTGCCCACGCTCTTAAAACTATCATGTGAATAATGTCAAACTAGCCTACAGGTGTGGATAAGAGACCAGATGGAAGAGAATTAAGATGCCTTGACTCATAGTCTTGCCAGTCACTGGACACAGTGAGGTCACCCTATACCATTCAAATACCAGCCATTTACCAGCTGACCATGAATACGTGAGACAGCACAGCCCAGCACCCAGGATGGGTCAGGTCAGAAGCACAGAACCAATCAACAGAATACTGAAGTAAATGAAAGGTATTTTTTTGGCCACTAAGTTTGGGGTACTTTGGTTTGCAAATTTTAAATGTTACACAATGAATTGTGTCATAAATCAAAAACAAAACACCTTGATACGTTAATTTTGTTCTGACAAAGAAGGCTTTTAATGTAATATGTAACACAATAAAAATGATGATGTAAGCACGTTCAAGATGGAAAATAAATTTTCAAGCTTGATATTACTCATTCTTAACTGCTCCATCAAATTCCAGATAAAGTAATACTGTTAATGAAGACTGCTTTGATTCCTTTTTCTGAAGATAATTTATATCTATTTTGTTCTTCCATAGTGTTTTTACTGTATTTCCTTAAGACTATTAACTTACCACTTTACTGTATTTTTTCTATATGTGTGTATTCTTATCTCCTCTAGAGACAAGTTATTTTAAACTAGATAAGGGTAAGATTTTTTTTTGCTTTTCACCCTAATTCTTGTTGCGAGTAACACAGTGCTTGGCACATAAAATTATTGAGCCTTATTACCTCTAGAAATTCTATTATTATTATTATTATTTATTTATTTATTATTGATGTGTGGTCTAATTTAAGTACCATGATTCAAAACTTATTCTTTGAAATAAATTTGTATGGAATACCTCCCATAAGGGGCATTTCCTAGACTTTACTTGAATAAATATTGAAACCTAGATATAAACTAAAGATAAACACTGGGGAGTATCTTGTGAGGGTCTAATTTGTTTACCCAGCTTTTGTGATAGGTATGCTCAATGCTACACGGGTATTGTTTCATTCAGACCCTCTCGTATGTGTATATGAACTTATGTATATACACATATCTATAAACATCTAAATTTCCCATCTGTATCTATATTAAAATAACATGAGTTCACACTCATGTCTTCAACTTTAACCCATTAAATCATGGATCATTCTATTCTCTTGCTTATCTGTAAACTCTCACTGGGAAAGTTAAGAATGCTGGCTCACATTGCTTAAGTTTTCAGTTCCAGTCTACTTACATAGTGGTATCAAAATCATTAACCCATATGCCCTTGGGATACTTTATCAGCTAGAGCAAAGTGCGTATGTTCAGTTCCCTTTGCTTTTAACTTCCAGACTCAATTCATTTCTAAGATTACTGAGGTCAGCACCTTTCTTCCACCTACTTCAGTGAGGTGTTTCAAACATTTGTAATACAGTTAAATTCTCTTGTCAAAGTCTATATTCTTTACTGGGATTCCCTGAACTCCTAAATGATTCTTTTAAATTTGCATACATTAAGTTTCACTCTTTGTGCTATAAATTTCCATGAGTCTAACAAATGTATAATGTCATATTTCACGGTTACAATATCATGGAGAACAGTTTCACCAGCCTAAAAAATCTCTTGTGCTTCACCTACTCATCTTTCCCACAATCACCCAAAGCCCTGGCATTCTTTGCTATCTCTATAAGTCTTAACTTCCAGAAAGTCCTATGAATACAGTCATATACTATGTAGACTTTTTAGACCGGCTTCTTTTGTTTTTGTTTTTTTACATAGCTAAGTCAAATTTATTTCATGAATGTAATGACTATTTTATTTTTTAATTATAATTTTTATTTTATTTTAACTCCAATATAGTTAATTTATAGTATTATGTTAGTTTCAGGTGTACAATATAGTGATTTGACAATTCTATATATGATTTGACAATTCTATACAATACTCAGTACTCATCAAGATCAGTGTAATCTTTTTTTTTAATTTTTATTTATTTTTGAGAAATAGAGTAGGAGTGGGGAAGGGACTGGGAAAAAGAGAGACACAGAATCCAAAGTAGACCCCAGGCTGGGAGCTGTCAGCACAGAGCCAGAGGCGGGACTAGAAATCAGGAACCACAAGATCATGACCTGAGCCAAAGTCAGAAGCTTAACCCACTGAGCCATCCCGATGCCCCAAGATAAGTATACTTTTAATCCCCTTCATCTATTTCACCCATCCCCCCACCTACCTCCCCTCTGCTAACCATCTGTTTTCTATAGTTAAGAGTCTATTTTTTGGTTTGTCTCCCTTTTTCCCCCTTTATTCATTTGTTTTGTTTCTCAAATTCCACACATGAGTGGGGCTTCTTATATAGCAATTTAAACTAAATCTATCTCCTGTCTTTTTGTGCTTGATACTTTTTTAAATTAATAAACTTTATTTTTTAGAGCAGTTTTAGAAACCTAAAAGAAAAATTGAATGGAATGCAGAGTTCCCATATACTTCCTTTGAACATATTAGTGTAGTACATCTATACAATTGATGAATCAACATTGACACATTATTATTAACCAAAGGCTCTAGTTTACATTGGGGCTTACTCTTTGTGTTGTAATGTAATATGAGTTTTAACAAATGATTTGTGTCATGTATCCACCATTACACTATTGTACAAAATAGTTTCACTGGTTTAAAAATCCTTTGAGTTTCCCCCTAGTCTTCCTCTCTCCCACTATGCTAAACCGTTGGTAGTCATTGATCTCACTGTCTTTTTAGGTTTACTTTGTATTTTTTATATAATTGGAATGATATAGCATGTAGACTGTTTAGACTCTCTTCTTTCACTTAGCAATATGCATTTACGGTTCTTCCACGTGTTTCATGGCTGGAAATTTCATTTCATTGTATTTTATAATAATATTGTATTATGTGGACATATAATTTGTTTAATTATTCATCTATTGAAGGAAATCTTCTGATTTTTTCAGTCATGAATAAAGTTTCTAAAGATACTGATGTGTAGCGTTTTGTGGTGACATAAATTTTCAACTCATTTGGGTAAATATCAAGGAGCACAAACTAAGAATATGGTTTGGGTTTTGTTTTTTGTTTGTCTGTTTGTTTGTTTTTATACAAAAATGTCTATGCTGTCTTCTAGAGAGGCTCTTTGTGTATTTCAAAAAGTGGTTTTCAATTTTAGTACATTCAAAATATCAATTTTTTCAAATGGAATATTCTTTTGGTGTTGTATCTACAAACTCATTGTCAAATCCAAAATTAAGGAACTTCCTTTCCATGTGTACTTTGCAGAGTGTTTTTATTACTGTGAGTGTTGGGTTTTGTAGAATAATTTTTTGGCATCAATTAAGATGATTTTTAAGCCATTGTGGATCACATTAATTGATTTTCGAATGTTGAAACCAGTCTTATATGCCTTAAATAAATTCCACTAGGGGTAGAGTATAATCTTCACACATTATTGGACTTGATTTGTTAATATTTTTTTGAGGATTTTTGCCTCGATGTTTTTTGAGAAATTTTGTTTTGCAGTTTTCCTTTCTTATAATGTCTTTATCTCACTTGGTATTAGGTTTATGCTGACCTAATTGAACAAGTTGGACAGTGGTTCTCTGCTTCCATTTTCTGGGTAAAATTATAGAGAATTGGTATAACTTCTTCTTTATATGTTTGATAAAACTCATCAGGAAAACTATCTGTACCTGATGTTTTCTCTTTTGGAAGTTATTAATTATTGACTCAGTTCTTTAATAGATATAGGCCTTTTCAAATTATGCATTTCTCCTTAGGTGAGTTTTGGGAGTTTCTGGCTTTTTTGTGTGTGTTTATCAGGGAATTGGTCCCTTTCCACTAAATTATCAAATTTATGGCCATAAAGATTTCATAACTTACCCTTATTATACTTTTAATATCAAAAGGATACATGGTGATAATCCCTTTTTCATTTATGATTTTAGTAACTTTTGTCTTCTTTTTTTAAAATTATTATTATTCTTTGTTAGCCTGGCTAGATTATTTCAAATCTCACTTATCTTTTCAAAGAAACTACTTTGATTTCATTGATTTTTTTTCTATTGATTCCCTGGTTTTCAATTTAATTTATTTCTGGTCTAATTACTATTTCTCCTCTTCTGCTTGCTTTAGGCTTACATTGTTATTTTGTTTTATAGCTTCTTCAAGTGCAAAGTTAGGTTATTGATTTGAGAACCTTCTTCTTTTCTAATATATGCATTCAATGCTATACATTTCCCTGTAAACACTACTTTTGCTGCATCCCACAATTTTGACAGCTTGTAATTCACTTAAATTTGCCTCAAGTATTTTTAACTTCTTTTGAGATTTCTTCTTTGGCCCATGTATTATTTAGGAGTTTGTTCAGTCCACATCAGAATTGAAATCAAAATTCTTTTTTTGCATTTTTATTCTGTGATTGACTTACATCAGAAAATTAAATTAAAAATTATGACTATCTTGATGGTTTGAATAAGGTTTCCATTTACTAGAGAAAGCTTTTTGTTTATTTATTTATGCTTATTTGGGGAAGAGGTAAAGATTAACAGTTCAATGTCTGACTGTCTATCTTTATCCTAGAGACTCCTTGATCAACTAGACATGTCCAAATGTTCCTGCTAGTTATTACTGTGACTCACCACACTTTATCTCTTAAGTTAAACTCTTCTAATTGTTCTTAAGAATCCTTTTCAGTGGGAATGTCATTATCCATCTATCTTGCTTAAAGAGAACAAACACCACAGTACTTTTAAGATACTGGTGTTTCATTCTTTGTGGTATTTCTCAACGTCTTTTTAATGAAAATATTTTCTGTGGCTTCCTGCAGGCAATAGTTGAGTGCTGGCAGAGAAAGTCACACGTAATACATCCATTCTAACATTTCTACCTCTCCACATAACATGAAGGAATCTGGCATTTTCGTTTTATTTAGCAAAGTCACACACTGGTCCACTTTTCAGTCAAGAAATTGTTAACAATCAATTATTTTCAGACCTTTGTGTTAACACTTTGAATTTAGAATGTCTGATAGCTGCATCCATATCAGCAAATTGATCATATCTGAAACTGCACCTCTCCCCCTTATGTTCCCAGAACCACGTGTATTCCACAGATCTGCAGCTAGCCAATTTGAAAAATCTTGCAATTATGTATATTGCTGTGAAAACCTTTTCTTAATTTGCTTTATAAAGTGCTCCCTCGGGGCGCCTGGGTGGCGCAGTCGGTTAAGCGTCCGACTTCAGCCAGGTCACGATCTCGCAGTCCGTGAGTTCGAGCCCCGCATCAGGCTCTGGGCTGATGGCTCAGAGCCTGGAGCCTGTTTCCGATTCTGTGTCTCCCTCTCTCTCTGCCCCTCCCCCGTTCATGCTCTGTCTCTCTCTGTCCCAAAAATAAATAAAAAACGTTAAAAAAAAATTTAAAAAAAAAATAAAAAAAAAAATAAAGTGCTCCCTCCCTCACACGAAGCTCATACTGGGATTTGACTCTATTTGTAAGTCTAGCAAGATGACATTTTAAGGGTGGACATCAGGATTGGATTCCTCTTGCCAGGCAACAGTCTCAGGTAGGTTTTTGTTTTGTTTTAAAGGGTCTTAAAACAAGGCAGAAATATCTTCATTGTGCAGAGGAGGAGGTTAGCAATGGAGAGTCAGTGAAGTTGTGGATCCAGGAGAATGTGAGTCATTTGAATCATCTGAATGTCTTTATTCCATTCCATTAGAATCCATAGAGTTATATTCTTTCTTAGCAACAACCTAGCTTTCCATTAAGGAATCTGGTTAAGGTTTAAATAAAAAAAATATTGAATTCCAAAAATTCACAAAAGCAAATGTTGAATTTACTTTTTTGGCTACATTAATGCTTTGGCAGCAAATATTAAGATTCTTTATAATGCTTATACAAATCTCATGGTTCTCAGACTATGGCTTGATCTGAAAATTTTGGATTTTGCATATATCATTCCTTTTCTGCAAGCCCTCCTGCGTAATTAAAAGCATGAAATCAATCTCTCACTCTTATACAATTTATCTGAATAGCCTCTTGGTTCCCCTACAGCTTTGCTTTCAACAAGTATTTTATTCAGAGCAGTTACACGGAATTTATTTATTTTGTCCCTGCATGCCATGTGATAAAGTCTCACGCTAGCTAAATTCTTACTGTCTTCAGGATTGACCCGAGCAAAAAACAAAGTGCAATCTTCCCATGAATGGAAGGTATGTTGCCTGCAACCATGTATAGTCTTACTTATGTATGCTCTGGGAACTTAGCTGCAACAAGAAAATTCACTTTGCCTAATTCATGCAAAAAAAAATAGGGTTTGTTTAAAAATTAGGAAAAGCTTGATAGATAAAAAGTTCACCGGGATAATCCTGATTCTCTTCCTCTGGAAACCGTTGTCAAATCCCACCATAGAACTAGCCTTTTGAGGAAACTGCTGGTGCTGTGCTTTCCATCATCAAGTGGAAAATGAAAGGTGTTCATCTTTACAAAGCCACTTCTCAGGCACTTCTACTTCTGCCTCAGCAGGTCAATCAATCACACAACTCCTGACGTTCTTCTCATTCTTTATTACCATCTATAGTGGCAACACTGGAGTTGCAGCACAAAGTCCTTGCCACCAGTCAGTTACTATGAATGAAATTGTATGAATGATTGGAAAAGTATTAAGTCACATATCCACCTTTTATTTGCTAGGGAACCTGAGAATTCAAATTCTGGTTTCTACATCTGAGAGAGAGGACCAATGGAAATTTCCCCAATTATGGAAATGCTATTCAAGAGGTGATCATTAATATGACAAATGTCAGTTACAGTAACCATCTACAACTGTTAGACTCACTCTTCCTGTTGTGCTTACCCATTATGATTTTTTTAAGCCACCTTTGCTTTTGCTTCATTTCCAGGGCAGCCTCTCACAGCTGGAAGTTTGTCTCCTTTCCTGTTCTCTTGAGTAAATCTAATGCATGATATTAGTATAAGCAAGGAATATAGGGAATACCAGCAAACAGCTATTAATAAGTGTGAAATAGAGTTTTATTCTTTGAATTTAGACTCTAATTTAGACTCAGTCATAAGACTGAGCATTGATGCTCTTTGGTTTTGAAAATTATCCCACCTTTAGAAAGGATTCTTTCTTTGGCCTCAGGCCAGAATTAATGGTGTGAGGAGAGCACAGCATTAAGAAAGAGCCCAGCTCCACAATGCTGGTGTTGGTCTCTACTTTTGCCAGCAGTGGGCCTACCACACCTGTTATTAAAAGAAGTGCTAAGACAGCAGAGCAAGCAGCAACAGAGACAACATCAGCAGGAAAACCCCAACTGCCAGGAAGAGCATATAATTATCTCTGCCCTCTAGAGCACGATTTCTTAACCAAGGATTGTTGAAAAATACACACGCTGAGTCCCACTCTGTCCAAGGTACTGATTTGGTAGGTCTGAGCTAGTGTTTAGGCACCTATAATTTATAACCATACAAACAAATAAATGTTTCACATGAATCTGAGATATGATCTTTGTTTAAAAATACTGCTGTTATGGGAGAAAAGATACCTTTTTTGTGGAAAAAAGCATGAGAGGGCTGATATTCTATATTTGGTTAATATCTACAGTGAAAGACAAAATTGGGAGTAATTAGTGTGCATGCCTTCAGTTGTAATCTGAGAAGAAACCTTATGTAGAATGGGAGGATGAGTGGGGCATAAATGGTCAGAAAGAATTAAAGCTCTAGGAGCACCTGGGTGGCTCAGTCAGTTAAGCATCTGACTTCAGCTCAGGTCATGATCTCACAGTTGGTGGGTTCAAGCCCTGCATTGTACTCTCTGCTGTCAGTGAGGAGGCCACTTTGGATCCTCTGTCTCCCTCTCTCTCTGCCCGTCCCCCACTTGTTCTCTCTATCTCTCTCTCTCCCTCCCCCCTCTCTAAAATAAATAAACATTTTAAAGAAAATAATTACAGCTCTACTTCTTCAGTATTCCGGCCACCAAAATACGTAAATGATCATAAAAGTATCCAGACTCTCACTACAGCAAACAGATAGTAACATTTTTAAATATTTTAAGTTATAGAGTTTTGCTGTATATTCACGTTTCTTCATCTCAATTCTATTTTCCAATAATATTTCTTTGTAAGGTAGCCATTTAGTTGAATGGTTAATCTTCAGGTAGGAAATAGAATCTTTTGGCTATCTTTTCAGAAGATAGTTGATGGTATGTTTTATTTACCCATACGAGATATTTGCTTCCCATTATTTTGAACACAAACAATTCTACAAGATAAAATGTAGGAATAGGTCCATGGATGTGCCAACTCTAATAGAACATAGATTAGTATTTGGTATTTGATCATTTCTCCATTTAGTTATCTTCTCTTAGGTTGTAAATCTTAAAGTCTAAATTAAATGAGAACCAGACAGATACTATTCCTCACACATTTCCTTGTAACAGCCTTTTTGGAAATTTAAAGAGAATCAGAAAGTTTTATTTTCCCAAGTATACCATCGTACATCCAGATATTAATTTTAGCCTCAAAGTTCCTGATCAAATTGATAAGATCTTTATAGGAAGAAAAACTATAGGGTTTTGAAACCTGAACGACAAAGACTGTGGCAGGCACAGATCTTAACCTCTATGTATTGAGGGCAGAGTTAAGTTGATTAGTTATCTGGGTTTGATATGGGGGACTCTGTGTTTCTGTTGACCCCTTTTGTTCAGTGCCTCATGGATAAGGCTGCAGAGTTTTTAATCTCACATATTCTATCACAGTCTCCATTAGAGATGTAATCACTCAACTGTCAAATCTATTTTGAAAAGGTTTTTGGAGAGAGAATACAGCGATTTATTCTTCACTTCTCTGAAATGATCTTTTCTGAAAATCGCACTACAAGCATACACAAGGGATAGTGTAATACAATCTCTGACAGCATTAGTTTGCTAACCTTATCCAATAAAGAGATTCTTCTTACAAAAGTTTATCATATTACCTCATCTCATGGTGGTATTGCCCTATTTGGAAAAAAAAATCACCTGTTCAAAGAAATGCAAAGAAAATATTACCTTTGAAGGATAAACACATATTTTAGTATTTTCAGGGTAACATAAGCAATGCCACAGGCACCTGATGCTGGCACACCATCAGTCTACCATCACACACAATTCACAAGCACATACATTGCCCTGAATGTAAAGTGCAAAATAATCAGCCCAATCAGAACAAGAATATTTACTTGTCATTAAGATTGAATGGCATATATTTCCATCCAACTTTATAATCGGAGCATCAGGCACTCTACATTAGCAATGCCATGGACTATGGGCACAGTGTGAAGACATAAAGACCATGAAAACTAGAAAATTCTAAGTTGTGATTTGTACAGACAATAAAATAAAATCCAATCTAAGAAACATTAGTCATGTTGTGGTGGTGCTTTTTTAATTATTTGGAAGCAGCCTCAGAGTCTGAATGAGAGCTAATATTTTAAGATCCAGAATCTTTTTTTTTTTTTTTCTGAAAGCCTGCTATTCACCTCAAGGGTGAGGAAGGGATCCTCTCTTCCACCCTAATAGATCAAAGGAGGTGAATGCACAATACCTAACAGCAGACAGATCACAAAAACAGCCATTTACTTGTCACATAGATCCACAGCCTGGGAGAAGAGGCTCAAATGCAGGGTTTGAACTCAGGAGAACAGAGTAAGAAACAGAGGCTGTGGGAGGCAGGCTTTGTAGTAACAAGAGGATGAGGTGACCGTCAGTTGCCACAGCCTTCTTAGAATAATTCTGCAGGCTGGCAGGGAACCTATGTCTGCCACTCAGGGATAAGCAGAATCTATGCCTGGTTTCCATGATAAGGAGAAGTATTTGGCTGAAGAATCTTATCCAAGGAAGCAGAGTGGAGAGGAGCACTGGTAGTTTGGCCATGTGAAGTCCTCTCAATTTTCCCAGATGTCAAAGTGGCACTTAACACTGAATCTCAATTTCAGGCCCTATACCACATCTTTGAATATATTTAAAATGATTATATAATATTCTGTGTTATTCTATTCTCATTTTGATAGTCATATCCCTGGTGAATACTACCTGGAATATAAGTAACCCATGAAGATGTTTTAGTTTTTAAAATCTGTGCCTGGTTTATTTATGGAAATATTTCCATAAATATTTCCATGGAAATATTTATTTCTGAATTAAAGTATCAAGTTTCACTTGATACTTATGTGAAATTCCCGCTGTAAAAATGTTGAAACTAACATTAAAGACATATTTTATTGTATACATACAGCAGATCTATGAATCCATCATTAAACAGGTAAAGTAAAGAGAAATCACAAGTTTGGGTTTTAAAGGCACAGGGGCTTACACCTAACACTGCTCCACTAAGAAGTTGGTCTTAGGTAGAATTGTGTAATGGCTACACCTTTTTCCCATCCTATCTAATCTAACAAAGCTTACCATTACTGATATATTATGGACATTTAGTCCTGCTTTTCAAAATCACGACATTCTGTTTGCTAGTTTAATGAGTATGAGTTTTCTGTAAGATAATCAGATTCAAAATAGTACACTTCTTTGAAAATCATACATTACTTTAGGAAATTTTGATCTAGACTTTAGAGTGACTTTTCTAAAGTCATTAAAAATGCAAACATGTTTAGTGTGAACATTGAACATTCAACATCACTGTGATTGTTCCACTACAATTTTTTGCATGCTCTACTTCAGAAACAACTTAAGACATGGGTGGTTGTTCATGGAATTTCATTTAAAAAAGTACACCTTCACTATGCTTCTTGCATGAAGAGAATTTTAACTCAATAAGCTGAAATATACACATCATTGAGTCATATCAGGAACATATCATTGCAAGGAAATTTTACTTTTAAAGGAAATAAAAATAGATCAGAAGTTTATAAGTGTTTGAGTATTAAAATATATGGAGATAAATATGTAAATAAATTCTCCCAAATGAAACATTGTCTTTATTATTAACAACCTGTCCATTTCTGAGTGTCCTTCCAAATGAATCATGTTATTTTTTAAGTATAGAATTCTGCTTGTAAAAAGTAAACATGCCCATGTTGAAAACCACGCTGACATTAATGTACTTCAAATGAAGCAGAATTCATACTACAATGCCCGTGTGGCAGGATATGATCGTACTTATATCAGTAGTTCCTGTGTTACAGTAAAGAAAAAATCCTATGTAACTTCAAAGACAGAGCATGTGATCTGTTTGAATCATAGTTCAATATAACTGGATGCAAGGTTTAAGAAATTTACTATAAAATTAAATTTGTGACATTATTTCAGTTGTTATGCTGACAATTTTATGTAACAGAAAATAAAAGTTAAATTTCCTTAAACAATGAATATTTATTATTGACTCATGTAGTTGAAATATCCTAAAGTAAGGCAAGTTTCAGGCATGGTCAGTTAGGCGGTGGGATATCTTCAGATCTGCTGACCTCTCTGGACCAACTTATTTCTTTGGCTTGCTCTTGGGAACAGAAGCCATGGTGACTAGATTCCTTACTTGCTTCTAGAAGGGAGGACTTTCTGAGCCACAGGAATTTTGTCCTAAGCTTTGCCCTTATTGAGCCAATTTAGTCTAAATGAATACTGCTGAAGCCACCATGCTGGGCAGCATTCCAAGTACTCATTTATTTAAATTGAGAGTCTTTTTTGACATAATCATTTGACCAGTGGAATTGTATTACCTTGACTGTTTCAGACCACCAAAAACCCTGGGCTAGTGTCAAAGTGAGATTAGATAAAATGAGACTTGACA